TGATCGTCCCCCTGTACTCGGCTCTGGTGAGGCCGCACCTCGAGTACTGTGTTCAGTTTTGGGCCCCTCGCTACAAGAAGGACATCGAGGTGCTTGAGCGGGTCCAGAGAAGGGCGACGAAGCTGGTGAGGGGTCTGGAGAACAAGTCCTACGAGGAGCGGCTGAGGGAGCTGGGCTTGTTCAGCCTGGAGAAAAGGAGGCTCAGGGGTGACCTTATTGCTCTTTACAGATACCTTAAAGGAGGCTGTAGTGAGGTGGGGGTTGGCCTGTTCTCCCACGTGCCTGGTGACAGGATGAGGGGGAATGGGCTGAAGTTGCGCCAGGGGAGTTTTAGGTTAGATGTTAGGAAGAACTTCTTTACTGAAAGGGTTGTTAGACATTGGAACAGGCTGCCCAGGGAAGTGGTGGAGTCACCATCCCTGGAAGTCTTTAAAAGACGTTTAGATGTAGAGCTTAGGGATATGGTTTAGTGGGGACTGTTAGTGTTAGGTTAGAGGTTGGACTCGATGATCTTGAGGTCTCTTCCAACCTAGAAATTCTGTGATTCTGTGAAGTGCTAATGAGGCAAATATTAACGGTTTTACATCAAGAGGGTCATTGGGAAACTCAAGCAATATGTGATGCTGTGCTATGGAAATATGTATGCATTATGTATGCGTAGGAATATATATATATACTGTGGCTGAACAAGTATGCAGCAGTTACATAATATGTCAAAAGGTAAATAGGAAAATTATCCACAGTCAGCCCGGGGGGGGGCAATAATCATGAATTCAACGCTTCCAAAATGTACAGGTAGATTTTACAGAGCTCCTTAGAGTACGTAGATATAAATACTTATTAGTCTTGGTCAATCATTTTTCAGGGTGGGTGGAAGCTTTCCCTTTAGTATCTGCTACTGTGAACATAGTAACTAAAGTAATTCTAAGAACTCCCAGGTATGGAATTGTTGAAAATATTGACTCTGATCAAGGAAATCACTTTATGTCAGAAATATTGCAAGGGCTAATGTGGACTCTAGGAATGAAGTGGAAATTTCATACTCCTTGGCATCCTTCCTCTTCTGGAAGGGTGGAGCAGACAGAAAAGAAGCAATTGACTAAGTTCTGGAAACTCATCTTCCCCAAACAAAGTGCTTACCTTTGGCACTTCTCTGAATTCACCAAGATAAGATGTGGGAGTTTCACCATATGAAATACTATTTGGATTGCTGTACCTGGACAAAGGGAATGGATTACCTCAATTTGAGAAAAAAGATGCTTTTCTTAAGAACTATATACTGGGGCTGTCATCCTTTTTGTCATCTCTCAGGACCCGTGGAGATTGGGATCTGATGCAAACTGCAGAATCGAAGCTGCAACCTGAGTGGAACGGACTGTTCCAAGTGCTCCTGACTACTGAAACAACAGTAAGAACGGCTGAGAGAGGGTGGACTCATTCCTGGGTAAAAGCATCAGTTAACCCTGATACCTGAGAGACTGCATTAACAACGACTTTTAAGGTTAAAACTGTTGAAAGTATCTATTGTAAACGTTTAACTTCTCCTTAGAAGAATTCTTAATGAATTAATGAGTAAAAGGGATTGAATTACACAGAATTGGAGTGTTTCCAGGGAACACTCCCTGGAAGTGGGAGAAAAAGAAAGGGGGATATTCGATCCCCACCAGAAGAATCCTTATCAGTTTGCGATTTTTATTATTATTTCTTAATTATTATTATTTCTTAATTATTATTATTTCTTAATTATTATAGGGGTGTATATATACATATAGAAATGATGTATTTTAAGTTCATCTTAATAATACCTGTTCTCAGTGGATTAGTGATAGGATGGAGGGAATGTTCGGCATTTCCAATTAATCCAGAACATCTCTCGAGTGAAATAATTGTTGGATTTGTACCCAGATGCCTAGAAAGACTGAAAAGGCCTTGTCCCTGATTGCTATTTCCAGCAGCAACTCTGTCTGGATTCTCTAGATTTCTAAAAACGACAGATCTTACTCAGTCCCGGGAAGGAATAGATTTTGAAGTTGAGCTCCCTACACATAGTCCTGGCTACAACATACTGTGTTATCAAAGGTGCCTTTTAAACAACATTGATAGAAAACTCAGGAGGCAATATTACTGACCCTGGGTGTGGAAATATCCATGAAGTAGGGAATAATCTATACTGTATACCGAATATAGTAGCCATGGGAACGCTAATATACATAATGAACACCAGATACAACATGAGAATCCTGTAACCAGAAGGCCTGTTCCAAATATCAAGGGGTGGTACTGGCTATGTGGCAATAAAGCCAGGAAGGTGTTGCCCCTAGGATGGAAGGGAGCTTGCACCCTGGAGGCAATAATTCCAAATGTAACTATTATTGAACCCCCACAAAGCCGAAGCCCCCTTGAGACCACACGTGGAATTAAGCGGATTCCAGATAATCCTTTAGTAAAATTCTCTAGCATTTCACAGTTTTGCAAAGTGGTTTTTATCTTGTTTAGGGGTGAGTGAATTAGAAAAAGACATTGTAAATTTCTCAAAATACAAAAATATTGTAAATATATTGAAGAACTAGAAAATAAGTTTGATAAGTTTGCAAAAATAGTACTCTAGAATCAAATAGCATTAGATTTATTAATAACCTCATAAGGAGGAGTGTGCACTGTAATTAATACTAGTTGCTGTATATATGTAGATCAAATGGGACGGATTTGACTAATCTCAAAAATATTTTGGGAAAAAAAAAACACAAAATCCTACATAGAGTAGCTCAAGATGCCAATTCCTGGGGATTTAGAAACATTTGGGAGAAACTAATTTCACAGTTACCTGAATAGAATTGGATCAAACAACTGTTTGTTGGTATTGTAATAATAATGGCATTGTATATCTATCATCTCCCGTGACATCCGAAGAAGAATATTGCACCTCAATGTTGGAAAAACTCAAGAGTGTGGTATGTGAAGAGGTACAAAAACAACAAGAGGAGTAAGAAAAGAAGAGGGGGGAATTGTGAGAAACAAAGTTGTGTTTTTGCAGTAGAAAACTAACCTTCTGTATTCCAAGGTAGTTGTGTAGTCATAATAAGGAGAAATGCTAAGTAGGTAAGTGGACAGTAGGAGGCCTCACTGTTCCAAAATAAGGTAGAAGCTTGAGAAAAACAGGATGAGCAGTGTGAGAATAGTAAAAAAAAGATCACAAGTTCTCAAAGCATAAGAAAGGAGAAATTAAAGGGTTGAAAAAAAGAAAAATTGTACATATATGGTATAGAGGAGCGTCGAGTAGGTTGTGAACCTGTATTACTCAGCCAATGAGGAAACAGGGGAGGTGATCAGGTGTTGGATAATGGGGAATAAAAGGTTATGATTTGTTTACTAAAATGCGCTCCTGATTGACAGGACGCCCACCATTGCAATCGCAAATGAAATAGCTTCACAGAAGATCCTGTCTGAAGAAAATTATTTGAGATGTTTCTCATAAGTGGAAGCTTGAGGTGTCAGTGACAGTGATGTCATGCGTGATAGACAGTCACACCCAGATCTGGCGCCACTGAACAAGGCATTCAATACTACAGCAGAGTAACTTTTGCCTCCAAAGAGCATTAATGTATTTATCAGTTCCCCTAAAAGATTCCTAAGGGACCTGACACTAACTTTAGACCCACTGGTTGGAGAGGTATCAGCATTCTCATACCTGTGCTAAGGACTCACCAGCCAAAGGGGATGTGCTGGCTACTCTGAGAACAACTTTCTATAGTAGCAGATTTTGCCACTGTTCTTGGCATGACTGGATCCCACAAGCTTTTCTCATTTGACATCAGCTCCTTCAGGGTTGGGTTAGCACATAAGACATTTAGATAAGCTACTCACTACCAGCGCACAGGCCATTCTGGTAGCCTGACTGAGAAGACAAAATTCTGAACACACTAAATATATGTGAAGCTTTAATATCTTACAGAGACCAAACACCCTTAGTGCCCTCCATATCATGACAAAACATTCAGAGAACACAGCCTACAAAGCTAAGTCCAGGGTGTAACCTACCTGTGACTCACAAGAATTACAGCCTGCTTGCCAGGATGATGTCACATAACCGAACGGGTAATAAGACATCCTATCCTAGCTCTGAAGAGCAACAAGTTGGAAGGTTTGCTACGCCTCTGCTGGGCTTTTCTGGGGCTCACACTGTGCTATCCATCCCATAGCAGGCTCCAGAGAGAACCTGGAGACCTATCTCAACTCTATACTAAGTAGTTTTCCCTTCCCTTAGCTCTAAGAGATGGGACATGCAATTTATCAACAAGGTGATTTTGAAACACAACTCACTGGCAGAAGTGCTGGGCACTATTCATTCCACACTTTGCCATCTGAGCAGAGCTATCATAGCTGTATACATACAAACACACGTTTAGAAGCATGAAATACTAGGTACATGGCTTTGGTCAATTTAGCCTCCATGCACTTTTACTATTTTGAATAGCTCCCACCAGAACTGTAAAAAAAGCCAAGTAGTTCTGTGCAAGGCATAGCCTACATGATCACATCATTTTATTTGAGGCATTGCAATCCAACCAGGCGTACTGTATTTGAACCCCAGCTTGGCTGGAAAACAGAGATAGCACAGAATATGTTCATACTTGTAGAACCCTGTTTGAGGGTATGCCATAGCATTGGTGTTTCAATTCTTACCATCTTTCCTCTTAAAAATACAACTTAGTTTAGCAATGTCAGGGTAGCATTTAAACCTTTATCTGTTACACAAGAACACTGTGGGTTTTTTTGGAGTAGATACATTAAAATAAATGCCATCAGACTTTTTATAGTGATAAGTAGTACAAACTTTTTGCATGGCTTACAATATTATCTTCCTCTACATTCTAGCAGACTATGAAATAACAGTATAGCACGGTGAAGACTAACACCTGAACAAAATATAGTTCACAGAATCACACGTTGAAGACCTAAGGTCACAGAGGAAAGAGCAGAAGTACACAAACCATCCTTACCTGGGCTTCTCTGACAAGCTGAGAAGAATCAGGCAGGCAGAAACCAATGGGTAATCCAACCTTCGAAGAGGTTTTAAATTTGTCTCCTATCTTAAATGGGACGTCGTCGAGATAACTGAAAGGCCCTAAGATCACAAGAAGAAATTGTATCAAGAACCTTACAAATTTGATGCATTCAGTTAAATCTCATGTTTCTGTATTTGGCAGCTACTCTTTCTCTGCTACCCCAACCACACAATGTGACTCAATACAAAGGAAGTTGAGTGATAAGAAACACACTGAATATGCCTGGACTTCATTGCTTCAGTTTTATTATTTTTAAAAGAATATTCTAGTCCATAACTATATTTTAAAACACTCCAATTGCTAAGCAGATTTTGAAGTTAATATTCCAGCATCTTAGCTTCCCTCATGACAACACTATGCCTACACAACCAGAAATTGAAGCTCTCCTGAATGTTGCGTTCTGTTATGCCTCTATAGAAGGAGCCATCAGTTTTTGTTATATTCAAAGCAAGTTTTAAAATGACCCAGCTCTAGAGCAGCTAAGAAACAAAAAAAGTTTTGACATACAAGTGGAAAGTAACATTTGGACAGAAGTGGTCACAAGGACAAAGTGGCCAAGTCCAGGAGATCCGCTTTAAACAAAACACAGTGAAATAGCTCAAGAATATTCAGTGTAGCAATTCTGACTTTTCAAACAAGGCAATCTAACTGGATCCAGTCTGATTTGTGATCACTCCAGTGAGGGGCCACAAACTTATTCCATGGTCCTCCATCTGTGCTTTACATCTGTCACTTACGTGTATCATTTATAGTGTTTTAGGACAAAAACTTTTCAAGCACCCTGCAAGCTCACTAGGCAGAATCACCAACAACTCAAGCTCCTCCAAGAAGCCAGACTAAAGTTGTTGTTTTTTCCATGAGCTGCTGTGAAGAAGTGTGAGAAAACCCATAACGTAAATTGTAGCCAGTTTCTAGATTAACTGGTCTAACCTTTTGGAATTACAGGCAAGGTTTTTGACTGTATATTACTAGACAAAAACTTCAAATTGTTATTATCATTTGGAACTTTGCTCTGAATGCTACAGATCCGACAAGACATTAGTGGCAACATGAGATGTTTGGTGACTAACCTCTTGCTCAGTGAGCTGTGACTTGCCATTTTTATCTGACCCATTTTCATACTTGGATGACAGTTTAAATACTATTTGTGCTCCTTCACTGTTGACTAATTTACAATAACACAGCCAAAAGCTCCAAGAGGACAAGCAGCTTTTGAGAACAGGAATATCCTGTTAATTTGGAATCAAATGTTTATGTGCTGTCATCAGTTGACCTCTCATGCTATAAACTGCATCGGCTGGTCCCAGAGCCCTGTTGGGCCTGAATAAAGGTAAGCAAAGAATTTGATTTTTTTTATGAGCTCCCTTGCCGGCTGCAGCACTGTATTTTGCCCGTAATTCTGCACGCGAAGATCCGAACGAAGACAATGGAGTCGTAAGTGTTTAAGGAGTATACCGTTTGGTTCGGTGGGATTCGGTTGCCTGTGTGTGTAAGAGTGTAACTTAGACTTCCGAAGTCAGTGTGGAGGTCTTCTAACCGCGGTTCCAATCTCCCATGAGGGACTTGGCCAGTGAAGGAAGTGATTCCTATAGGATTCGTGGGTGGGTGATAGGTCCTAAACCCCCTGCAAGACACTCTTACTAAGGTAACCAAGGGCTGTGGGAATTGCCATAGTAAAATTCCTAGATGGGTCAGACAGAATTGAAGACCAAGGACCAGAAGAAAGGGAGCAAATTATCAGAAAGTCCATTAGGAATAACGATTAGAAATTGGAACAATAGGGGCCCCAGAAAATGAAAAAGTAAATTAAAAATGGTCCATTATTATATGATAGAAACACCAAAAGAACCCTTAAGACCCCATGTATTTTGGTTGATATTTGGGTCCACGGAGGACAGGGTCTGTCAGGCTTTGAACATTAATGTTAATAGTAGAATACCCGCGGATCCGGAAGAGAGCAAGTATGCTGCAGCTGAAACATGGAATTAGAAATTAGAGAGCAATTGATTAAGAATGAGTATGTGCTACATTTGTGATGTACTATGCCTGTGCTGCGCTTAGACCTCCAGATAACAGGAGCCTCTCAGACCCCAAGAACCAGATCAAAACAACCTCATGGTTCGGACTTTAACCAAGGGGTCTGAGATAAGGAGGACTGTTCACAAAGGGACAGGTTATGCATATGTATAGGAGTGTTGGGAAACTTCATGTATATGTAACTCTACTAGATATAACCAAAGCAAGTTGTCACATTAGGCGTGCATGACTTTGGCAGGACTACCCCCCCCCGTGCCGCCCAGAACTGAGTAAACATACCTACTTTACAATCTTACTGATTGTGGAGTCAGCTTTCTGTGAGTCATTTTGGTGAGCCAGGCAGGAGACACTCTGCTCGGCTGCAGGATCGGCTGCGGAGCAGACGCCCCTAGGTGCACCCTGAGTGTTTTGCTCGGAGGGGACTCCACTCTCAGCCGCTCACCGCAGGAGCAGACAAAGATCTCCTGAGGCTGCGGACAAACGGTATGTTTTCAGCTGCTGGAGGGATACTAACTGGAATGTTAATAATTGTATGTCTTATTCTTAAATGTCCAGGTATTTTGTGTTGAAAGTATTTGTGTAAGTGGAAGGGTTTGAAACAAAGTGGAATAAGTCACTCCACGAAGAACACAGTCAGAGACAATACTCGTTTGGTTGGTTATCATTCTAAATTATATTCTTGTGGTATGAATGAGATGTGCTAGAGGCCTCTCTGTGTGATTGTGTGATTGTGCTGTGTGAGTGAGACGCAGCGTCGCTGCAAAGCGAGTGCGGAGTTCCGATCCGCAGTTCCATGTTCTCCGCAAGGGGAGTGGGCGGAGACGAACGAAGTGCGTGAGAAACCAAAAAGAAGTGCTGTTTTATCCAAGTTTTGAGTGGTGGTGCCCAATATATGGGCCTGGCAGTGTATCTTGTGATCCTATTTTTGCTCTTAAATGCTTTGAGTGTGACAAGAAAGGTGGGAGCATTATCGAAGTAACTAACAGTTGAGAAGTGCTGGTATATTTGCTGTGGTGTTTTTGCTGTGGTGTTTGGTCAGTTTCCCAAGTACTGGCGGGGGGGGGAGGGGGTTGACTGATTATCAAAGCAGAACCGAGAGAGTCATTTCTTTGGTGGTTCGGGCTTGAGCCCTGGGAATTTGGTAAGAGGGGGGGGGGAGCGAATTTATTTAGGCATCAATACCTTTTAAACCCCCCTATTGACGGATACACAGGAGTGATTCCTTGTTTTGTATGGGCTTACTAACAAAGTGCATGAGAAAAATTGGCATTTGGCTTGAAATTCGGTCCTGTTGAAATGTAAATTTTTGTGGAGAAGGTGGTAATGTTTGTCTAGAAGACGGAAGGCTGAGTGCTTCAGCTGTTTTCCTGAAGTTCCGTGGATTTATGATTGAAACGGGGCTCGTTAATAATTTGAAATAGTGAAGTTTGTATGTGGGAAGAAGAGTTTAATCCCAGAGAATTGGGACATTTGGGAAGGAGATTAGGAAAAGATTGTAAAAACCCGCAGTAAAAAGGTTTGCGTGGAAATTGAAACAAAGGACAGTAACTAGAAAGGAATAATACTAAATAAATAAATAAACAAACAAATAAAAGGGAATGGGAAATCAAGGAAATGGGTAATATCCAAAACAAAGATGTTTTAAAGAAAGCCTCCTCGGGTGCATATTGTCACATTCAAAGGATATTGTTAGAACTGGGGACACAGAAAGCAAGAGGACTTTCACTAAATATTGCAATCAGTGGTGGCCACTATATAAAGTGAATGGCCACTTTATGGATCAATCGACTATAACACTATCTTGCAATTAAATTAATGTTGTTTCTGAGGAGAGAAGAAAAATAGGATGAAATGTAGTATACTGATATGTTGTTTCAGCATCTTAGAGGGAAAAGGAGTGGAATTACATGCAAGTTGGCCCCTGACTTAGCCTTTGGTGTTGGCATGAGAAAAGTACAGGCTGGAGAAAAATAAAGGAAGGGTTAAAAGAGTTGTTGAAGGTGTTAAAGGTGTGGCATGTAGTATTTAACAGAGCTGTTTGAAGTTGAATGAGCAGGGAAAGAGGATGTAGGAATGTTAATAGTTCTGCCTCAATGGGAGGCTGTGATCTCAAAATCACCGGTGTGAGCCCTTTGGGGCAGAGGGACCATGACAGTCAGAGAGTTGTCACGGAAACAGAAAAGCAGTTAACTCTTAAAACAATCTGAGTTTATGAGTGAGCTCAGATTGCCAATGGGACCGCTCAGGGAACTGTTGACAATTGCATTCCCCTGACCGACCCCATGCTGAGACTATAGTCACCCCGGAAATAATGAACGATAAATACCAAAATCTGGTTAAATTGGGAATTGAGAATCTGTTCCAACAAAATCCAAAAGAAACCCCTATGGAATTTTTGGACCGACTATGAAATGCAATGGAAAACAAAACAAAACAAACAAACGAAACTGGAGAAAATAGGGGCTAAATTAGAACAAGGAAAATGGACGCTGCCAGACAGGCGAGAGATACTGCCAAAAGCTTATGCAAAGCAAATATTGGGACGTTTGCATGCACAAACACATTGGGGTACAAAGGTGTTAAGTGATCATTTACTAAAACAATTTGGTTGCATTGTTTTTTTTTGAAATAGCAAAGCAAATTACATAACCGTTGCTTAACTTGTAAGAAGATAAATAAGAAAGTGTTTCAACAAGCAGCCACGGGAGGGAGAAACAAAACAAAACAGCTTATAGGCCTTTTGAGAAAGTACAAGTTGGTTTCACTGAATTGCCCAAAGTAGAGAGGATAAAATATCTATTGGTAATAGTAGATCATTTAACACAATGGGTAGAAGCTTATCCCGTAGCACGAGCTATGGCACAAATGGTGGTAAAAATTCTATTAGAACACCTGATACCTAGATATGGGATAATCCAGTACATTGATTCTGACCAGGGCACACACCTTACTTCTAAAATAATAAAATTATTATGGAAATCATTAGGTATTCAGTGGGAATACCATACTCCGTGGCACCCAC